CTTTTCATTTAGGCCAAATGCCGTTGTTCTAAACTAATTGTGCACATTTTCACTTCAAGTTTTTTGTGCACACATGAAAAGTGAGCTGTCACTGATGTGTTAGCTATATTAGTAGAAGAAGAACTTGACAAATAGTTAAATGATTCCACTTTCAATCAGTGACAATAGATGCTTCAAATATAAAATCAGTTAAAGTAAACCCAACAATTATTTGATATTTTAATCCAATTTATGAAACCATAGTAAAGATTTGAATTTTTTATTTCTGTCAAAGATGAAATAGGTGACATAATTTGTGAATGCTATTGTCAATTTGTTAAAATTCAACATGGATGGACAATAGAACTTTTTGTGGTTACGCTATGAATGTAAGTTTTACTAAAGCACAGTGTGGAAAGAAAAATTAAACAATTTTCTAAACTAAATTAGGAAACCTACAAAGCATAAATGTATTTGAAATTATCTAAAGCACAAAAAGAATCAATCATTACATCCAATCATATAGGATGAATTAATTCTACCAACTGAAACAATCTGCAGTTATCAAAATTTATAGATCATTATGTATTTATACCTGAACTATAACATTTTTACTGATTAAGCTGGTATTGAATCAAAATAAACAAACAAAATAAATAAACCTGTAGCCTTGCAGTCTGAGCTTTCTCCCTTGCGTCTCATTATGAATCAAATTTTAGAAATGTTTGAGCCTTTTTGAAGGTCTACTTTAAAAATCAACCTTAAATGCCCTACACAGAAAATATTTTGGAAATAAGTCCTTTACATTTTTGTTGTATTTTGTTCAAAGCTGGTTGAAAATCTTTAATTAAATAATTAAACACATGGAGCACCAAAAACTTCATCTTTTAAAGTTTTTAGGAAATGGTCATAATTGAGGATAAAATTTGTAAACAGGAGTACTATGCACTTTATTCCTACAAAAGCATGGAGGAAAAGAACAAATTAAATGATGAGACATTAGATAGTGTATATGAAGTGATTCTGCAATTAATACACATCTAATTATTTTCACGTAAAAGAATAATATTTAGATGATGATATTTTTAATCAGTAAATTCATATTTTGAAATGGCATAAAACAAAAGTGAGAAGATCTATAATTTTGGGCCATTTAAATTGGGCACAATATTCCAGGGAATAATAAACATAACTTTGTATGAGTTTTGTCTTATAAAAATGTTTGAAGAAAGATGCTCAGTAGTGTCCTTTTTAATATGAAAATGATTTTAACTGAGACTGTCCTTCATTTAGTAGAATTTGATCTGAATTTATCAGGTACATGGTAGAAGGCTATTCTGTCCTTTAAAAATACTATGTTTTTCAAAGAAGAGTCAACTCAATAGGTCAAAAATTTCAAATATTTTAACCATAAATCTATATTGGAGCATATCACAGGTATTATTATGAATAAACATTTGAAAACAATAAGATTATATTGAAATTATCAACTCCATAAAAGTACCAATGCGATGATACAAGAGAGACACATGACTTAGAAATTGATTAAAGTATATAAATATGTTTTTTAAAATATATTTACATATATTTTAAATTTAGACTCTAAGGTATTATTGTACTATGCATACATATATAGAGAAATGATTTTATTTACAAATAAATTTAGAACAGAACTATTTTTATATGTCAATATAATAACACCATGTGATCAGTCGATTAATAAATATATCAGAAGTATTTAATCTGAGTGATTGCAAAGGTCTCACAGTTTAGACAGAGTTATTCAGACACCCCAGTTCTTGCAGCCTGCCGCCCCCACGCGTGACTTGCTCCTGTGGGCAGGGCACGGTGCCGGGCTGGTGCTGTCCAGGGCGGAGCCCCTCCCTATCTAAGAGGAAACCCGCCTCCAACCACAGCCTCCTATTCATCTAGGGCCAAAGCCTGTGACTTAGGCTTGGCTTCAGAGCCACCTCCCCACGGAGTTTGGAGTGAGAACGGGGACCCAGAGAAGCGGGACAGCAGGTAAGCCACCACGGCAGCAGCAGGCGGAGACAGCCGCAGCTGCAGCAACGTCCTTTCGCAAGGACAGCCCAGATGTTGGCTCCTGCAGGTGCTCAGGGGCCCGGGCCGACAGCCACAGCGAGAGCTGCAGCAGCCGCGGTGGAGACCCGCAGCCCAGGGCGCAGCGTGAGCCACCGTGGAAGCTGCTGCCGAGTGGCCCTGGAATCGCCGTGGAGCTCGGTGCTCCTCCGTCTTCACAGCCCGCGCTGTGGGGACGGACTGGCCGTGACTGCGCCCCCTGTCCAGCCTCACTTGGTGCTGCTGATTTTTTAAGCCTGGTCCTCTGGGATTCTGGTATCAACACAACAGTTCTTTTGGTTGTTGTTATAATAATGATTTCCTTTTCTACCTTCCTCACCTGGAGTTTGTTTCTGTGACTCACAGTTGAGAGCCTTGGCTAATATCACCACCAGGGACACACACCAGGATCAAGCGAAAAGGCCACCTGGATATGCTTGGGCTGGGAATGTGGCCATTATCTGGACTTTACAAGGGACCCAAATCAAGAACTTCTCAAACTAGAAGCGGTCACTCAGCAGACAGCAGAGGTGCTTCAGCCCTGAGAACAGCATGGTGACTAGGGGACAGTGTGGCTAAGTGTCACCCTGATATCAGTTGGCTGTCCTGGTCTGCTTAGATTCATATGAAACTGGCTTGTGCCCTTAACATGCAGAGTGCAATACATAGTATCCTGGGCTTTCTGGGATTCGATTTTCTTCCTGTTACTTTTGGCTTTGTGTGCCTACTTTTACCTACCTAGTATGTTTTATTTAACTTTTAAATTTATTAATATCTAAGAAAACTTAAATACACTAGGCTTTACCAATATCAACTGACTCAATACTCTTAATAACCTGTTGAATTCAGTATAATTATTATTGTCCCCATTTTACAGAAGAGGAAATTGGAGTCACAGAATTAGTGAGGGAGCAAGGGTTTAAACCTAAGTGGGGTTAGGCTCAAAGGCCAGACTCTCCCTGGCTGCCTGGCCACTGCTCACATTGGGCTGTCCTTTTCCAGCCCACATCTCTTTCCCCAAAGTATGTCCAGCATGAAGGTATATCTGCATCAGATTTCTATTTAAGCTTTGGGGACAAGGAGTTTGCCCATGTAGGAGGGATAGGGGAAATGTGTTGTTAGGCCTTGCTGTACTGCACCAAAAAATGAACAAAAAACAAGCAAAACAGAACAAGAAGAAGATCCTTTCAATTATATTTTAGATACCCATATTCCTAAAATATTCCTTGGTCCTTTTTGCTGGCCAAACCCTTTGGTAGGACCTTTGCTTCTACTTTCTTGTTGAACTTTACCAATTTATCTCCCTTCCAGAAACCCCAATTCATTACTTTCATTATATTGATAAAAATTGTTCTCATTTCTTCCCTTTCTGAGCCATATCCTGAGGCTCATTTTTTCCTAAGTAAGTGACTCATCTCTGAATTTGCTAAACCAAAAGCTCTCCACTCGGAAGGTAATGGTGCCTCTCCCCAGTGGACAGACAGAATTATTGTTATAAAATGCAAGGGCTTTTCACTCTCTTATGCTAGCCCAGAAATACTAGGAAAACAATAAGATGAAAAGAAATAAAGAAATAAACCAAGAGCCAAGGAAAAGCTAGCCTAAACACCCAGGCGATGACAATCTTATAGACAGGTCAGGTTGAGTGAGCGGAAATGGGGGTGGGGAGAATGCATAGAGGACTTGCAGGAGGTGGAGGGGGCCCAGGGGTGGTACAGGGGCTCAGGCCTCCTATGAACATGTCTCTCTTTAGGGTATTGGAGACCACAGCATGGTTCTCAGGCCTAGAGCAGCTGCACCCCTGAGCCAAAGCAGACAGCATGGCAAACAGGTACGGAGTCAGGCAGAAATACCCCAAGAGAGGATGGAAGCCAGTCTTGGCTAGAGGGAGCATCCTGCCAGCACCAGCAACAAAGTCACTCCACAGTCGCCCCAAGCAGTACACCAGCTGGCAGTGAAACCACAGGGAGAAACAGCCAAGCCCGGGAGCCTTCCCTGAGGCTGCCATCCCAGGCCGGGGCTGCACTTGAGTTATCTTTGGATAAGAGTAAGTGCAGTAAATGTGTCCATCTATGATCTTTTTTATCCCTTGGTTTCTTAGTAATGTTACTTTTGAAAAATTCTAATTGATATCAGCAAAATCATAATGAAAGAGTATTTTGCATGTTTGGGTAAGAGCTCTGGGCAAAACAGAAGATTCCAGAGGTGGGTGTAGGCAAAGGTGAGTGGAGATCACTAGTACTGTGTTTCCCCGAAAATCAGACAGGGTCTTATATTTATTTTTCCTCAAGAAGACATCCTAGGGCTTATTTTCAGGGGATGTGTTATTTTCCCCTCAAAGCCTTAGCTTGCAGCACACACGGGATGGCCAGGACCTGACGGGGAGCCGACCTTGTTGGTGGGGCTGCCTGCACCTCTCCGGTCACCTCTGGGATAGTAGCTGTCACGATGGGGCAGATGAGAAGGGCTGCTCGTCCTCTTTATCACTCGGCCACGGAAATGCATGGGTTGTGCAGATACCCTGCGGTAGCCACGCCCATCGCTAGGTCTTATTTTTCAGGGTAGGGCTTACATTGCACAAATGCTTAGAAACCCTGCTAGGTCTTATTTTATGGGCAGGTCTTATTTTTGGGGAAACACGGTAGGTGGCAGGAGACGAAGGAGGAGACAGGACAGGACAAGATGGAAGGAGGAGGAGAAGGGGAGCCAGGCAGAGGGAGGGGGAGACACTGAGGCAGGGGTAGGCACATGGGCACTGCCTTTCCCTACTGGGAATCTCAGCTTCCTGCTCACATTTTCCGGCAGAGCCACACAACATGTGCTTATGCTGGAACAACCACATGTGATCAAACAAGGGAAGACAAATCAGTGACCTCACAGAACTAGATTGGTTACCGTAGCTCCATGAGGAAAACTAGAAGGAAAGGCTGTGGGGCTTACTGTCTCCACCAGGGCTGTGGCGCTGGCTTTCTAGGGGGGTTTAGAAAATGTCTGGGGGTGTTTGCGGGCGATAGTAACTGAAGGTTCCACTGCAATTAGTGGGGAGGGTCACGTTTGTTAACCCTAGTGCGAAACACTGGAAAAAACGTCATGCAAAGATCTGAGGTGAGAGGGGAGAAGGACGACCAGAGGGGAGACTGAGGGAGCGCCGAGGGAGGGTGGGTGGGAGCGAGGCGTCACTGCGTTTTGACGGATGTTCTGACTGCGCGGCTAGTCAGTCACGGAGCTGAAAATAGGACCATGAATCGTGACTGTTGTAGACTTTAAATAAGGATGGGAGAGGAGAGGGCATAGGAAGGGAGGCGAGTGGGGAAGGGAGGCGAGTGGAGAGACAGGCAGAGACACACAAGTACACACAAGGAGGCCGCGCGCATCACCGGCTCCCTGGGGCCAGAGCGCACGCATGCTCCGTGGCGGTGGCGCATTTCCTGCCGAGCACACCCGCCCCACCTGCTCCTTTGCTCCACCTTCCCTGCGCCCGGGCCTTTGGGGACAGGTGCTGAGACTGTTTAAAAATGTGCCTGGGATTTTGTTTTTATTCAGGTACGGTGAGGCCGACTGGTCAGCAGACGACTGCCACCGAAAAGACAGTTTGTGACTCACAGCTCCCAGGAGGAGGGGGTGCGCCATCCCAGGCAGAGCCACACAGGGGCCCCCAGGGCTGGCGGCAGAGGCGGAGTGCGGGGTGTGTGCAGCCTTTCTGGGACTTCTGAGTGAAGGAGTGGGAGAGGCAGAGCATGCCGCTGAGCAGGCTTAGGATGGGATAGTGTGAATAACTTCAGCAAGCTCTGGGATATAGGGCGGCCTCTGTTGTCTGCTGCTGGCCCTGGGGTGATTGGAGGCAGGGGGATAGTGCCCCAGACTGCAGCAGTCTGACAAAAGGAGGCAGGTGAGGGCGTGGACCTGGGTTTGGCTGGTCAAAGGCACTGTTATAGGGAAAGTTGTCTGTTATCTCCCGGAATTAGCTAACATTATTGGGGGTGGGGACATTCCTTCCCAGGACCACAAGGCCCAAGCTATCAAAGCATCATACAACATAAAAAGTTAAGAGACATGAGTCATACAGAGACGAGGGCAGAAATAGAAGGATGCTCAGGAACACAGTCACTGTGGAAAATCCCTGTTTCTCAACGGGGCCCTCTGGAATGGGTGGGGGCACATTCTGTGTGTGCCACCTGCTGTCTGGCTCCAGCTTGGAGCCAAGGTCGCCGGTATCAGATTGCCAGATCCAGTTGCCATATCAATGTCATTGGTGACACTTAAACCTTAGGATACTTTCTTCAGTTTTTCTCACTTCAATCTACTCACTCAATAGATATTCCTTGAGGAGCCAGGCATTGAGTGGGTACTGGGGATGAGTCTATAGGTGGATTGAATTCATGGTCCTAGTTAACACCTTATCTAGATCTGTGACCTTTATAAAGTGAGCTTCCAGCCCCGCCCTCTCATTGAGGGCTGGAATCTATTACCCCGGTTTGGCTCTGTGTCTTGCCTAAATGATAATTCAGGTAGAGGATGGGTGTGTAGATTCAGGAGTGCGAGAAAGAATTCCGTGGAAATGCACGGATTCAGGATGGTTGGAGTTTATTTGCGCAGGGGGTGGGTCAGTGTTGAAGCAAGGACCTATCGGGTCTTCTTGGGACTTGTGTCATGCTTTATTCAGAAGTCAGCGGGAAGTCCCCGAAGACTTTTCAGCAAGGGAGTGGCACAATTTAGTTTTCAGTTTGCAGTTTGCACCACATTTTCTGCAAGGGTAGAGGCTTGGCAGGAAGTAGCATTGCTCGTACCTGGGAGACCAGTACGGAGGTCTTTAATTGAAGTAATCAATGGTGGAGGCCTGATAAGAAGTATTGATTGTCTTGTGGATGGATAAACATAGGGCAAAAAATCAACTTGCAAAATATATAAAACTTGCAAGACTTGTAAAATAACTTGCAAACATTTTTAAAAGGAAAAATTATAAATTTCATTATGGGCAATGCAAATATTGCCAACCTCTTTGACTCTTCTCTCTAGCAAATTTGATCTCAGGGACAGGCATGTTTTGGATAGTGGCTGAGCTAACACTTACCTGCCAGAGTGAAATTCTACTGTTTGTCTTCTCTTGGCTATTATCTGTGTCACTAGGTGACTGCCACTTTATTTTGGCAGTTCTCTAGCTCTATGCTCCCAGGACTTGCTGAGACAAGTCCTCAGATGCCAGTGAAACTTGCCGGTGTGGTCAGATGGTGCCTCCAGCACCAGTTCGTGGCAGAATGTCTCTCAAGGTGAACCTTTTCGAGATACAGCGTCTGATGGCTCTGGAGGGTGGCCGTGGATGCCTAAATGGAAGCTGCCTTCAATCCACAAGACAGAAATTTAAATTGTACTTTCTGTGTACAAATTGTTCATACTGTCATATCAGGAGGTGGCCTGACTATGTCCAGCTAACTTCAGAGAGGATGACCTGAGTTGGGCCTTGAAGCCAAATCTATTTGAGGGGACAGATTTGCTGCAGAGGAGGGAAGGGTCCCATCCCATCACAAAATAGAGGTGAGGTGACAATGTGGTGGCACTGACCATTGCTAGAGGAGGGTTTGGGAGCTTCATCTCCATAGAACTGAGATACAGGAAGGAGATCTCACTAAGCTAAAGGGGGTTAGACATGTCTTTTTCATGACATCCTTGTACTACACTAAGATACAAGCCTTATCTCCACTTACATATCCTAATAACAATAGTGGCTAATACTTAATGCAGCACATACTGGGTAGGCACTATTTGTATTCCAGTTTCACAAAAGGGAAGTTGTAGTACATAAAGGCTAATTTGCATAAAGCCAGGTGGCTGATGGGTAGTGGGCACAGAACTGGGACCACAGGCCATCCTAGCCCAAAGCCAGTGCTCTTTTTACTTCCTCTAAGGCTTGGCTTTGAGACTGGGCTAGGTCAAGGTCCAGGTTCTAGTTCCTGGGATGTTGGGGAGGGGTGGCCCAGCAAGACAAGGGAGCAGGAGCCACTCGGGAAGGCAGGACCTTGGACCTGAGAGACATGAGTAATAGACACAGAAGACAGGGACCCACAGGCAGGGAGGAGCTCAGGGATTCTGTCAAGGAACTAGGTGCAAAGTCCCAGGGAGCAGTGTGCTTTGTTGACCTGCCTCAATCCCTCTGACTCTTGCCAGGATTGGAACTTTACCTGAAAAGTTTGTCCCATGGGAGTAGCACTGACAGAAATAATTGCAAACTATGGCTACCTGAATACCTATTCTCTCTTCTTTTATACCAGAACCCCAGATTTTAGTTCAGCACTTAGTAGTCCTGAATAAACCCCACACATTTCCAAGCCTCTCTTGAAGTTGGGTGTGGCCACATACTTAAAGTTCTAGCCACCAACATGTAGTTGGGAGTGAAATGGGCACTCTCTGGGAAGTGTTCTGTAAGAAGAATGAACATGTCCATTTTTGTTGCTTTCTCCTTACTGCCCGCTAGAATTTGGGCATGATGGCTGGAGCACAGGCAGCTACTCTGGACTATGAAGGAAGGCAGGGAGACACAGTAGAAATGAATAGCTCTTGGCTGCCTCTCTTCAGATGACTTTTATGAGTAAGAGTACAAAACTATATTTCATTTGAGCCACACAAATATCTGCGCGTATGTACATTATATTGCAGCCAACCTAATCCTAACTTAATCGCTTAATTTATAACTCTTGCTTTACCTTCAGACTGGAAAAACAGTTCTCTCTCAATGTTCCACTCAAATCAACGTGGCATTAATATGGGATTGGGAAAATGGCAGTGGGAGCTGTAACACGGGTGCAATCTTTCTCATCTTGTCCTGTATCAGTGGTAACTTTCTCCAGAAAGATGTTTTAGAAGTTGAAGGAATTGATCTAAAAAAAAAAAAAAAACACCAAAACTCTACTTTTCATATTTTATTCTCTGCTTGCAACTTTAATGTATAACACTCAGGCTATTTCGAGAAACGGGACCAGTGTGTTTTGTACACATTAACCAAGGTATACAGACTCCTGAATGGTGTTGAAGAGGCATACTTGGCTACAGCTGCAACATCCAAAAAAGTTTATTAAGAAAATTTTAACAAAATATTTCGGAATTTAATAATGGAGGCTTTTTTCCTTCAGCCCCACAAGGACCAAAAATTCATTTTAACCCCTGACAGCAGACATAAATCTGAAACAGGGTTTGAAAGCTTCTCCATATGCTCAGGCACAGCACCATCCCGAGCTAAGTTTAAATCACAGCCCTGTCCTATCTTCTCCGTTTATCTGCATGTGGGGTGGAGGCGGCGGAGGAGGGTGGGTGGGGACTGTGTGTTTGAGGTGCTAAATGCTGTCACGGGACCATCTGCCACGGTCTGCACATCTCATGACTCAGAAGCAGCCTGTGAAACAAAAAGGATCTGGTTAAGAGCCCAGCTCTACCACTGGGTATTTGCACGCGCCCCGGAGCTTGGATCAAGTCTTCCCTCTCTGCTTCCTGGGCTGCAGAAGTGGGTAGCAATATGCCCTGTAGTATTGGCTGCTGGTAACGGGAGACAATCAAATGAGGACACTAGATCAGTGGCTGCTCCGCCCACTTGCCCGACTTACAAATGTGCTCCTTCCAAGGGGAAAACAATTGTTTTTAAGCCCCTCAATTGTCATCCAAATGCAATGCCACCTAAAGGAGAACATGCAAGTTGGAGGAGCCGATGTTCTGAAGGCTGGGCTGTGGCTTACAGAGCCTTGTCCACTCCAGACGACTCCATACTGCGTGGCTAGACTCAGTTTCTCCACCTGTGCATGTAGGCAGCACCCCCTGGGAGAAGCCTCTTTTAAGGCTGTCCTGGCTTGGAGTTCCCATGGGTCTGTGTCTTTGTGTTATTTCCTAGGTGTTTATTTTGGAGCTCGTTGTGTGTGCAAGTGAGCACTCAGCACATCCGAGCCCACTCGTTCCATCCGGAAATAGCTGGAGCAGAATCTTCCTGTTGCACCCTCTCGGTTTTCAGTTTGACTCTGCAGTTCTGCTGTGTGAGTGCTCTGACTCCATTGATAACAGCCTTATTGAATTTATTTCTATGCATACATCCTGGAAAATGGGGAAAGTATACTTGCATAAATTAT